GATTTCTCGATCTGATAAACCTCATGCACAAACCCATTACAGTTGTGACGGTCACGCTTCTTAGATTCATCCAAAATCCGATCATGAAGCAAAAGCAACGGAGTACCCCATGAGTATTGGCGTGGGATTGTGAAATGAATCTGAAGGCCTCGATCTTGACAAGGGATTGCAGCAACCAGAGTCCACAAGACAAACATGAGCACAGAACTCATTGCAAAAACTGGGACTGCAAGGCCATTAGTAGCCACGACCTCATTCGCACGTGGAGGGACCAAACTGTTTGCAATAGATTGAAGCTGCTTTGCTGATGACCAAGAATGAGATACGCTCCAAGAGAGAGACCGTGAATGACCTGGCTTATGACGATGGTGATCCTTGCTTGTGTTATTACGCCCAAAAGATCGGTTCCGTTGGGAAAGAACAGATCCAGTTTCCTTCTCATCCAACATTACAAGTGCCAAATCCATCAAAGCTTTCCTCGCTCGACGAAACTGACCTTCTCCAAACATCCTCTGTCGAGAGTCCAAGGCACAGAGAACAATCTCCAAGTTCTTCTGCCACATCCGAATCTTCTCAATTCCATCACGAGTTGCATTACAAATATCAAGGGCCTTAACGCTCTTCTCAAAGAATTCAGAAACAAACCTATCCAAAGGGGGTTTCGAGAGCCGTGCACTGTTTTTGCACAAAATAACCCTAAACTCTTCCTGACAACCAAGGAAAGCATCCAATAACTTCTGTAACCATGTAGCAGAGAGAAATTCATCAGCATTAGCAGCTGAAAGATCACGAAATCGATCAAAGATCTGTTTGTAGAATGCTTCCAGCTCTGAATCCCGAGCAACAGAATCGAGGTTCATTTCCATAGAATGAACCTGATCACTCCTAATATTTAAAATTGAGCGACGAAACGAAGCAAAAGGCATAGAAGAGCCCTGATGATCTGTCGAAGGCATTGTCACAAGACAAAACCTCGTCACAATCACCAAGACAACAACTCAATTCAGGAAATCACCATAAACCTACAGACAATTTAGCCAATTCATGAACTGACACTCAAAGCCTCACGATAAATGAAACCCCCCAGAACCTTCAAGACCAATAAATTATGAAATAAACATGGACCTAGAAATAACTCAACCAAATTTATCAATTGCCCATGATATTGAGGATGAAACGCAATTTCAAAAGCACCTATAATTAAATCAGATTCACCAACGTAAACCAAAAACTCATGAATTCATAGAACCCAACTCAAAATCCTCGTCGCCAAACAATTCCCAAAATCAACAATAACCACCTACAATTCAACCAGATTCATTAGCAACATCCCCAAAATACATGAAGTTTCAAAACCCAGATCAAGAACCCGCGAAAACTCGCCTGCAATTTAACCAAAACCTATCAACAAAACCCAAATATTAAAAAAATTCAGAACCTAGAATAAGGAATCTTCATGCCCCGCATATAATTTGGAGAGATTAATCAGCAAAATACCCAAAACCCAGAAAAATTTTCAAACCCCAATACAAGAAATATACAACATCCAGATCAGCAGCAGTAATTTACTATTTCATTGTTTTTGTAAATGGAAAAATAACACAAAAACATCTACATATGCCCAAGAAACTCTGAGAAATTCCAACAAATCATATGAAAAAACCAAATGCAAATGAGATGTTAAGAAAACCCACGAAGAGAAGCAAAAAGAAACGAATATAAAGAATCAAAGAGGCATCAAAGAGGGTACCTTGATAGATTACACATACAGAGGAGCTCCAAAGAAGGGTTTAAATATGTATATACAAATAGATATATAGATAGATATAGATATATAGAAGAGAAACGGAAACCTAGCGAAGGAGCGAGAATCCGCGCCTTTGGTCTGAATAATTCAAGACTACCCAAAACGAGAAATATATAGTACAAATCTCCAACACAAAAAACAAACAAAATAAAAAAAAAAATTCTCTGCCTCGTTTCTAAAATATGTTTTTGAATTTTAAATTCGTATTTTTGTATTTTTATTTATTTTAATTATTTTTTTGATAACCGAATGTTTGGGCCAGCATCCTGGAGTGTCGCACCTCGACTAATCTTAGGGTCTTGAGCTTATCGACCGAGCAAAGACGTAGTGGCCCGCTAGTAGCCAGCTGGGGGTGGAATTCGAACCTGAGACCTAGTGAGGAGCAAACTCCTAGGTCCCTGGTCCCTTACCCTCAACCAACTGGGCTACTCTTGCCGGTTTTTTTTAGATCCACTTAATCTTCATATAAGTAAAAAAAATATAAAGTTTGTATAAATTTAAAATAAAATTCATTTTATATAACAGAATATGAAAGTATGCTGAATTTTTATATTTTTTGTATTTGGTAAAAAAAAAAATTCATAAATGTTATACTTTTTAACCATATTCAGATTAGATGAATAATAAAAAAATGTACATAAAATATTAAAAAAATTACTAAAAATAAAAAATATAGAAAATAAAAAATTCATTAAAAAAAATAGAGATAACCAAACAAAATAAAATTCAAAAACATACCTTACTAGGGGAATATATGTAATTTTGGAATTTTTGCATTGTGGTGTTAAAATTTAATTTATTTATATTCTCTATTCCATTCACTCATAACACTAGCATTTTGTTAAGTTTAATTTCACTTCTATCTCTTAAATTATTGTTATTTTTTAATTTTATTATTAAGTTAGCAATTTTATTTTATTTAAATTCGTAATTGTTAAAATTTAATTTGATTGGCAAAAAGTTCATTTTAAAATTTAAATCATTGAAATCATGTAATAAAATAAGATAGGTGTTTGGTTAATTGTTTAATATAATGTGAGTAATAAGATGAGTTTTTAGTTGTATAGGTTTTTTTTTTCTTTTTGATAACCAGATGTCAAGGTTAATTTACGCACATCTCAACTAATTCTAAATCATCCTTGGATGCACACTGATGCGGCCCTTCAAACTTTTTAGTTTGATTGCGAGAATCCCACTTAAAACCAGAGCAAACTTCATGTACAAATTGGTTATGCGCATCTCGACTAATCCCTAGTCATCCTTAGGTACACACATTGATGCGGCCTTTCAAACTTTCTAATTTGTTTGCGGGAGCCCCATTTAAAACCGGAGCAAACGTCCTATATGGATTGACCCCAAGGAAACTTTCTAATTTGGTTGCCGAAACACCATTTAAAGCCAGAGCAAACATCCGGTATGAATTAACCCCAAGGAACTTATTGCAATTAGTGAGCATTGAACTTGAGATTTAGAGGAAGCACACCCTAAACCTCTAAGATGTCCCCACTAGGCCAACTTGTATAGTTGAGATTATCTAAATTTATTTGTGTATCTTCTTTTTTTTTTGTGTCATTGATTTAGATGGATTGTCTCCAATTGAATTATACATATTGTAATTAAAAACTCTATGGACTAAATATAAGAAATTAATAATTTAAGGATGAAATAGAAAGGGGAAAAAAAATAGTTTAAGGATTAAAAGTGAAACTAATCCTTTTTTTTAAAGGCAAATTATATTTTGACCTAAATTTTACCTAAATTACCATCGATTTTTCACCTGAATTTTACTTTAGATCCTCATTCTTCTAATTGCAATAATTAAAATTTCATATTACAACTCATGTTTCAATATTGTTCTCCTATCAAAATGTTGTTCTCCTATCACTCCACTATTTGAAATTTGAGTGAATGTTAAAACATAAGCAATCAAAATGTAATTTAAATAAAAGTTAAAAGAGTAAAAAATGTAATTTATCATACAAAACTCTCTCTAATTCCCATAAAATGTGCTTACATGACCTTCACCTGAGTAATTTGCATCCAAATGCTTTACAATAAATAATAAGAAGATCACATTGAAACATAAGTTTAAATTCAAAAAATTAACTTTTATAATTAAAAGATGAGGGATCAAAATAAAATCAAGACAAAAGCTTTAGAGTGAAAAGTGTAATTTACTCATTTTTAAATTTAATTTAATTTATTATGTATTTTATGTATTTATTTATTTGTTCATTTGTTTATTTTGGACAATTACATACATTTTTCTTGACATTTTAAACAATTATATGGATTTTCGAGTTGTCCTTAATTCTTCTTTGATTCACTATAGAAGTTATTAAGAGAATTTCACAATGTCGCTATAATGCTAAAAATACCCTTTCTTTTTTTAAGTTGCAAATACAAAAAAAATGTCTATCCCTCTTCCTACTCCTCCGACTACCACTAACCACCATCACAGCTCAACTCCATTAATATTCGAGTGCGACAAAATAATTTAATTTCTTGCATTAGAGGCCTAGACCTCACCTTGACTTGACCAAAATTTACAGAAAAACTAGCAAAAAGAAAACATAATCAAATGAAAATCTATGTTCTTATATTTTTTTTTTCACTTTTATATGAAAAATTATTAGATACTTTTAAAATAACACACGATATTGTTTATGTGAATCAATAAGAAATAGCACCAATTAATCAATTTTTTTATATATAATTGATTTAAAATATTATACAAATAAATCACTTGATATTTCGAGACAATATATACATACACAGAGAAAATTGGGCAGCTTAGTGTTATTGTCACTATTTAAACATTGATATAACGTTCATTAAATGTTTGAACTTTGATTCCTTTTATGTCAACACCCGTGATGATTTAGAAAAGGATATCTTTTTGGCAAAGGAAATCTGATATTTCAAAATTGTAGGTGCAACCCAATATTCATTTTCTATCCCTTCATTGTTTTGTTGAAGGAAAAATGGTTGACGGCTCTTAATTTTGGAGTTCTAGAAGGAATTTTAATGATGAGATTAATATAAAATGTTTATGCTTGCTTGTTTATTTATTTATTTTTTTCTTTCTCTATGTTTCAATGAGTTAGTTAGCCTTACATTTTTTGCTCATATTGATCTTTAGGAATGAACAAGATGTTTAATAGGATGAATTTTCCTATCCCGTATGTGAAAAATGGAAATGTCAAATAATCTTTATGTACTTTTAGAGCAAGTAAATATAAGTACAAGTACTGGAATCAATGTTTGAGAAATTTTGTGGCAACGAATAAGGTTTTTAATTTTCCAGAAATTGATTATGATTAGGTACAATTGGTTCAGATACAATTAAGAGTACCCGAGTATGGTTGGATGACTCAGAAGGTCTTCCATTTTCTTAATTTCGTGGTGAATGGGGGTGTGTATTTTGTATCCCTTCTTTAATTCATGCTATGAAGTTATTTATTTATGCCTCCTAGTTACTACCTTGGTATTGAGTGTGGATTGTTTACAATGTGACAGTTCGAGCGATAGTCTTTATTTTCCGTCGGGATGTTCAGAAGTTGCAACCAGAGGTTTGGAGCAATATTTGTTAATGTTTCTTTTCCTTGTTTCTGTCTTAGTTTTTATTTTTTTAGCTTGTAGTTTACCATGCTGTTTGTTAGATTCTCCAACATATCTTGCTTGATATGCCGAGCTTTGCGTTCTTCACAATATATGCACTCTTAGTTTTGTTCTGGGCAGAGATATACTATCAGGTTGTGCTTGATTATGCTAATACTTGCACCTGTTGACTGGCATATGGCCATTTGGTCTAATTTCATTGCTGACTTGAATATTGACAGGCACGTGTTGTATCTACTGATGGGCTCAGGCCAAGTTTCTATACAATTAATGTCGTGGTTTATGTTGTTGTAGCTCGACATCTGATCTCACAAGTGCAATGTGAAATAGATAAATATCAAATAATCCTAATCCGGTAAATCTTTTGGAAAATCGATTTTGAATCAAATTGTCAAAAATGGACTGTTTTGCCAGATACAGAGTCGCCACCTAAATATTTTTGGAAAATTTAGAAAACCCATGACTCGTGCCAAAAGCCACGTGTCCGTCATTACCAAGATTGTCTCGGCTCGGGAACTTAGGTACAAAAGGAGAAGGTCATGAATTGAGCACCCCCGCTCGCCCGATCAAAGATTGGTCTCTACTAATCATGATATGAATCTTATCTACATTATATGCTCTTGTTCCGGTTTCTTAGGCTGGCATTACTATGTGATGCGCACACACACAAGTATAGACTAACTAGCAAGATTTGGAACATTTGGCTTATGTTTGTTTGCAAAATTGTTTTGAATATGTACCACTTGAAAAAGTGATCACATATAAACGTTACTCAAATTATTCCAATTCAAGCAACCAGCCTTCATCCACAAGCATTCAAGCAATTTAACACCTAAGCAATTAGCCTTATGGCAAGCATGCTAAACATGGCAACAATTACATTCAATATGCTAAAGCGAGTAAAGGCTCACCTAGTACTCCAAACCAAAACAATAATAGACTTAGAAAGATGCATGATCCTAACTAGGCAATATGACTAATGCAACACATGCATTATGCAATTACTAGGCTTAGCTACTAATATGGCATATGAATCAATTTGATAACATGCAGTCTAAACACGTTTTCAAAGAAGTATTTAAACTAACAATGCAAGTTAGAATGATAAACCAAGTCTCGGTGCATGCAATACACATGGATGCAAACATGAAGTATGCTAAACAAAACATGATGTCCCTAAACTAACCATCATAAGCTAGTAAATAAAAGAG